AATCATTTAGAAGGTTTTAAAACCATTAAGAGACATTTTCTTTTTGTCAAACAAGATTCACCTCTTAATGATTTAGAGACTGCCTCTTAATTGAACTATTAATATGTAAACAAACAATCCCTAAATCTTTTTCATTCTTACAAACCAAACACAAGATTAGAATGAATTATAACAAGACAAAAAATGTATAAAAATATAATAAAATAGTTGGGTTAATGGTGTATATAAAACTTAAAAATAGATATATTATATGGTTTTTATTTTTTTTAAAAGAAAAAACAGATGCTATTTTAACAGTATTATCAAAAGGGTTTTTGGTCTACTGGTATCCAGACTTTTTAACAAATCAAAAATTTAAAGATCACAAATAATGGAAAAAAATATATCAATTTATTTAAGGCAAATTGCATGAAAAAGTAACGTACTTTAACTTGATTTCTATTCTAGGTAATATACTTTCAAAACTTCCATTTTGATACCTAAGATGTAAAGTTTTAAATATTTAAGTACTCGGATAACAACCGGTTACCATGCTGATGTGACGACTGACGAGTGATGAGATGAAATTGGGTTGAATAACAAGTAATATTGATTTGGATACCATATTATTTGCTACATCAACAGGGTAACCGGTTAATGCTTCAACCGATTATCCGGATATTTAAATATTTAAAACTTTACATCTTAGCTATCAACATGAAAGTTTAGAAAATACGTTATCTAAAATAGAAATCAAGTTAAAATACATTATTTTTTCATGCAATTTGTTCTTTATTTTATTACAGTTTGCTATATAAATAATATGTATTTAAAAAAACAACAATTAACATTAATTATTATTATTATTAAATATAAATAATATATTAAATGCATCATAAAGAATATAACAAGGGCTAAGGGTGAAATGCTTAGGCCGGTATTAGTATTAAACCTATCCAAAAGTTGAACAACCACTTTAAATATTCAAATGATTTTAGATGCCATTATTTTCTATTTTATTGGCTTCATTATTATTTTTTTGACTTTTAAGCTATTATTATGTCCCATATGATATGCCTCAAATGGAAATATTTTGATGATCCAAGAAAAGCATAAAGTGAGTTGTGTGTGTGTATATATATATATATATATATATATAGGAAGTTTACTTTACAAACCATGTTATTTGTACAAATTGTATGAACCTCATTCAATCGATCATAATTTTTTATTTTGTCCATTTTTTTGTAATTATGAGAGGTTGATTAATCATTTTTATTGTGGAGGGTATTAATCGTGGATATTATCATCTTCATTATATTAAATTTAAAGAAATATATGAAACAGTTTCATTAAAATTTCATAAGTATTATATGAAACAGTTTCATAACCATATATGAAATAACTTTATCAAGAAAAAGTATTATATGAAACAATTTCATAAGATTAAACAACTTCATTAATTTTTTTTATAAAATTAAACAATGAAATCGACGGAAAATGGTGGTTTGTACAAATATGAGTGGTTTGCATTTGATCGCTCATCTCTCTCTCTCTCTCTATATATATATATATGTGTGTGTGTGTGTAATGTTAGGTTGAAATGATAAAAAACGTTGAGAATGAGAGAAGAAATCTTGACTACTAGTTGAATGTTTTGATTTTCAAGTTTTTTTTTTCACTAATTAAAATAATTATGAAAAAAAATCAAATATCTTAATTTATATTCTATTTATTCTATAACGTTTTTTTGATGATTTCACAATCTAAAATCAAATTAAATCTCATTTGCTTAAATCTCATGTGTGAAACACGAACATTAATATTCTTCATTTGTCTGTTGAAATGTAAACAAAGTCAAAAGATCCCAATAAACGATTATCAGACACTTAAAATAAGATGTATGCTGATTCATATGTGAATGTGTGAATCTCAACATAGATTACATGTGATTCTTAATTAATTTTAATTTGTACATGAATAAATTTAAAACATATAACCGAGATTCTGAATTGGTTTAAGATTCATATTTGAAAAAGTGAATTCTATCATAGATTCATATGTGAATCCCAGCATAGATTCATATTTGAAAAAGTGAATTCTAACATAGATTCATATGTGAATCCCAACATAGATTCATGTGAATCTCAATTATTGTTTATACGTGAATCAATTTACAATTTATAATCGAGATTCTGAATCAATTTAAAATCCATGATATATATATATATATATATATATATATATATAATGTTAGGTTCAGAAGAAAACGCAAAAAAATGAAAAACTAAAGAACCTTCTTTTTAGAGGGTTTTCAGCTGAACCTCCCTATATATATCATGGATTTTAACTTAAAAATAATGAAATTTTCTTTTTTGGTATAAATTATTTGAATAAAATATTGATTTTATTTTTAATAATCTAATATAAAAAGAAAATAGGTAATCTAAATTTTATTAAGAAAAAGTGGGTACGTTTAAAAAAAATGAGTGGATTAGTGATATAATTGTACGAAGTGTTCCAAACTTTCCCCCTCAACTTTCTTAGGTTTTTAAACATGTCATATTTAACTTAAGATCTTGACAATTGAAAATCTAATCTAATGGTTCAGATCTTTTCTCGTATTCTCAATATTTTCGGGCTTCTCATTTGAACCTAACATGTGATACAAACATGTTGCATTGACCTGCTGTTGTATAACGCGCAACCTACCTTGCGACCCTTGGTCGCATTAACCAAGTCACCCACTTTCTTTTGGACATATTGTGTCACTTGTGATTTTACTCTGTAATCACATGTGATTTTAAAATTTCTCGTTTTCTCGAATGATGACGATAATCAAATGAGAACCACAAATATATTACAACCCCGTGAGAACCGATATAAAAATATTTTTATACATGGACTTTTTTCATCAAAACCTATGACTTAAGACATTGTTTTATATATGTTTGTGTTCATCTTGTGAAAAAAAAAATTTGGTAGTGAAAGGAAAAATACACGTAAAAAAAATATTCACGGTGAAACAAATATATGTGAAACTATCATATTTTGAAAAAATTTATATATGTGAAACAATATCTTAAATCCTAGCATTTAATAAAAAATATATATGTGAAACAATATCTTAAAAAGTGATCAAGGGTTCAGATCTCTTGTTACATTTTTCACCTTAACTCTTATTTTCATACGATTCTTCATCTACATATATATAGGGTTGGGTTCTTGTGAGAAGAGAAGTTATGGTGAGAAACGTAAGAAGAGATCTAAAGCCTTGATCATTTCTAATCTCATGTCCACCTGTGAATTGCGCTTTAGAAGGGAATTGAACCGTTGCAACTCGATGCACCTCATTGGTGTTGACATTCAATTATGATTGATCAAAGAGTGAAGATCTATTCTTATGCTTCTCACCATAACTTCCCTTCTCACCAGATCCCAACTCTATATATATGTAGACGAATGATCGTATTAGAATAAGAGTTAAGGTAAAAAAACGTAACAAGAGATCTGAACCCTTGATCACCTTTAATCTCACGCCCACCTACATGAATTACGCTTGATACGGAATTGATCTGGTACATCTCATTACTAATTGATCTTCAATCAAGATTGATTTCAAAAGTGAAGACCCCTTATTATCTTTCTCACGGTAACTCCCATTACATATTCATTTAGAATTCTTTAAAAAAAATCACTCTCTGATTTTTTTCAAATTGGACATGTTAAATGATCGATTAGGTTCGTAAAAACCCTATTGATCACCCCTAGTCCAGATTAATAAATATTGTGATAACGACGTATTTAACTTTTATATGAAATAGTCGTGTTAATTTATTGTCATTCCTAATTTTTCCTCATGCTACCAACTCGTATCAATTAAAGCCGTAATTAGGACAAAGTAGCTTAAGTTTGACTTGATGGAAGTTCGAAAACAAGTCTCATATTTTATCATCTGGAAGGAGGTTCCGTCAAAAACCTTATTTTCATTGAGAACCAGGAATTGCTAGAGCATGTCAGGTGTGCATATTCATGAATATGGATGAATTTACGACATTCATGATGAATGTCTCATCCATATTCATCATGAATATGGACACGTGATGTGCTCTCATTGGTTCCCATTTCTTAATGAAAATGATACATATATAAATAGAGGGAGGTTTAGGGAGGACCTCCAAAAAATGAAAAACCGATGAACATTTTAACAACCGTTCATCTGTATGATATATACATGCATACAAGTAACTAAAGACGTTCATCTATATGATATATACATATGCACACAAGTAACTAAAGATATTTCTTGGTGGTTTTTAATGCATGTGTGCATGCATGTTATGGATATGTGCATATTAGAAAATTTATTTCTATACACACAACATACAGTACTAATGAACGGTTATTAGGGTGTTTATTAGATTTTCATTTTTTATGGTTTTTTTCCAAAACTATATTATAATATATATATATATATATATATATATATATATATATATAGAGAGAGAGAGAGAGAGACTTGGGATCATGTAAGAGCAGATTGTTTTCGTGAGATCTATGAGACCACATTTTTACACTTGAAACTTTAAAGAAAAACATTACGAAGGTAAAAAAAATCCAAACATTCACAACAAAAACACACGAAAAAGTTTCAATTGTAAAAAGTGATCTCACAGGTCTCACGAAAACAACATGGTCTCGCATGATCCCAAGTATGTATATGTGTGTGTGTGTATATATATATATACACACACACATTAGGAACCTTATATATTTGAGAACCCAAAAACCACCTATTTTATATAGTATTCATGATAAATAAACTTGAATGAATAATGAATGGTATTCATAATGAATATCTAACACGAAATTACATAAAATAGGTGATTCTAAATCATCAAAATATTTAAGATATTTAAATGAGCATGCCTATCTATATATATATATATATATATATATATGAGTCAAGTAAATATCTATTTTATGCTCTTTAAATCTAGAGAGAGAGAGAGAGAGAGAGGATGTTGGCATTTGAGTGTGTTGAAGAAATAGAGGTTTCATTAGGAAGAAAGGTGACATCTGCAGAGGCATTTTGGCTGAACTATTCAGCTAACAAGTCTGATTACTTTTTGTATTGTCATAACCTCATTTTCTTGATCATCTTCTATTCCTTGCTTCCTCTACCCTACGTCATCCTCCAACTCATCATCAGAAGCTCCAAAAACACCCATAAATTCAAGATTCAACCAAACATCACATACTCGTTTACACATATGTTCGATTGCTATACGAAGGTCGTTAAGCTCTTTCTTCTTACAGTCGGTCCCCTCCAATTGATTTCGTTTCCTATTATTCAGGTATATATACATATGTTTCTTGTACAAATCTAATTTCACACACACACATATATATAGAGAGAGAGAGAGAGAGAGAAGTTCTGTTAGAAATCTGAAATTGATTAGAAATACAGGAACGGTCCACAATGTGCCACGTGTCCATATATTCATCATGAATAACATATTCATAATAAATATGGTGAATCTTATTCATCATGAATAACATATTCATATCGAATATGGTAAGTATTATTCATCATGAATCACAAATAATTAAGAGCATGTCTATATTTCTAATGAATATATCATGTATCGTGTTGTGGGTGCAATCCTTGATAACTATACCCAACATGCCTAATCCACATTCTTCTAAATATTTTGGATGTCAATTTAAAAGAATTGGTGTAAATTATGTGTTTTTTTTATTAACCTGGATATCCAACCCGCTATGCGAGTCGACTAATTCCAGAGTGACCACCTGCTTTGCAAATAGCCCGGAATCACCACATTTGAACCTCTGTGGCCACAAGGAGATTTTTATTTCTCCTTGGATTTGAACTTGGGACCTCCTGGTACTTTTGATCTTTTGAGTCAAACTCAAACCAATCAGGCACCACCCTTGTGGTTTATGATGTGTTTTTTAATGTATAATGCTAGATCTTATTGTATATGCATGTGTAGATATGTATAAACAAAACCCTAAAACTAAATCTCGATCCAAAACGCCCATGACTAGTAGGCTGAAACTCGACCTTAAAGAACCGATCAATTTTTTTTCTCAAGGCCCCAGTTCATGCTTGATTTAAAAAACTTAAAAAACCCGTTAATTCTGAAAAAACTTAAACTTTTTTTTGTTTACTGAAAACGGGCTTTCAAGGCACTATCCTATTCGACTGTTCCCAAAAAGTGTGGACCTTGTGCATCTTTACGTATGTGGCTGAAAATGTGAAATACGTTTTGACATAAGATGACAGTATAAAATGAACTGACATCCTCATCTCGGAACTGAAGTTTGTTGAAATCAGGACAAGTTTACCATTGCCGTCAAAAAGAGAGATGTTTTTACAAATTGTGGTGTATTTCATAGTAGAAGACTACGCAAACTATTGGCTTCATAGGTTGTTGCATACGACGTGGGCGTACGAGAAAATTCATCGGGTCCATCACGAATACAGTGCACCGATGAGCTTCGCTGCTTCTTATGCACATTGGGCAGAAGTCATCATCCTTGGCTTCGCTTCTTTCCTTGGTCCTCTCTTGGTTCCTTGTCATATGATCACAATGTGGTTATGGATGATCGTTAGGCATGCCGAGGCTATTGAAACTCATAGTGGGTAAGTGGTGGATTCGTGTTTTCAAAGTGATTATTGCAACTTAATCAATCAAAATCAGATATTCAGTTGTTTAAAGTTCTGTAATTTTACATCTGTCTTGATTCTAAGCTTTTTCCAATTATCCAAAAATAGATTATTTTGACCCTAAATAATAAAAAACTAACATTTTTTTTTGTCTATTTAGTTTTTCTTCTAACACACGTATAACGTATGATACGTGACACGTATGATACGTGTCACGTATCATACGGAGCATGTCAATCATATGATGGTGATTGACATTAATGTGGATGGCATATATTATATGTATATGATTGATGATGATGATGATGGATGATGATGATGGTGGATGGTAGATATGATCTTCCATGGAGTCCCACAAGATTGATACCATTTTATGGAGGAGCAGAATACCATGACTACCATCACTATGTTGGGGAAAAGGCTCAAAGCAACTTTGCTTCTGTTTTCACTTATTGTGATTACATCTATGGAACAGACAAGGTTTTTTTTATTCATTTTGTAATTATTTTCTCAATTATTATCTTATATGTTTCAAATACTGATTTTTATCGAATACTTTTTGTAACAGGGATATCGATACGCAAAAAAACACAGGAAAGGTAATCTTCATAAAACACCTTTATAGACAGATTATATATATATATATATATATATATAGGATTGGGTTCACGTGAAACTAGTTTGTTTCTATGATACTACTTTTTTACACTTGAAACTTCATAGCAAAACGTTGTGAAGGTAAAGAAAACTGAACCTTCACAGCAAAAAACACTATAAAGGTTACCTTCACAGCGTTCTACTATGAAGTTTCAAGTGTAAAACAATTGTCTCACAGGTTCCATGAAAACATGTTGGTCTCACGTGATCCCAAGTATATATATAATACTTGATATATACAAAAAACACAAATACACTTGTGCACGTTCTACTTCGTTTTTAGAGTTGTACAGATATACTAGTCTAGTCAAAATCAATCAAAAGCCCGACCAGTCTAGATTTGATATGGTAAAGATCGAACGTATACTAACAGTATGGACTTGTCTTATCTATTGATATGGGCTTTTGGTTTAGTCTGTAAAGAAAAACAAAATTGACATAATTAACGACTTAAAAAATCGAACTGATTTTTATTCGATCTGAGAAAAATGTATCTGATCTTTATATAATTCATATTTTTTATCCTGACTTAACCAATAAGTTGGTCAATCAGATATGGACTAATAATACACACCAAATGGATTAAGCTATAAGCTACGTGTAATTAATAGACAAAATGGTTGTCTTATTTTATACTTTTTAATGAAAATATTTACTAAAAATTGAATATTTTATTCCAAATTTAATAAAACACAAAAATGACCAATTTCATATAAGACGACAAAGGAAACAATAATCTATAGCATAAAAAAGTATTATTGATGTTATATACATATACATATATAGAGAGAAGAGCGATCAAATACAAACCACTCATATTTGTATAAATCGTGTAAATCACACTCATCCGTCGATTTCATTGTTTAATCTTATAAAAAAATTTCATGAAATTGTTTCATATAATACTTTTTTTGATAAAATTGTTTCATATATGGTTATGAAATTGTTTCCTTTCTCTCTCTCTCTCTCTTTCTAGGTTTACTTTACAAACCATGTTATCTGTACAAACCGTACAAACTTCATTCAACCAATCATATTTTTCTATTTTTTCTAGTTTTTTCATTTTTTTTTTGTAATTATGAGAGGTTGATTAATCATTTTTATTGTGGGTGTTAATCATGGATATTATCATCTTTCATTATATTAATTTTAAAGAAATACATGAAACAGTTTCATTAAAATTTCATATGCATTATATGAAACAATTTCATAACCATATATAAACCAACTTTATCTAGAAAAGTATTATATGAAGCAATTTCATAATATTAAACAATTTCATGAAACAAAATCATTAAATTAAACAATAAAATCGATGGATAAGGGTGGTTTGCACAATTTGTACAAATATAGGTGGTTTGCATTTGATCGCTCATCTCCCCCCTCCCCTCTCTCTCTCTCTCTCTCTTTATATATATATATATATATATATATATATTGTAATTTGATTAAATTTTAACGAAAATTATATAATTAAATGACCACGAGAGTCTAAAGTAAGTAATGGAGTGATATAGATGATTATAGTGTTATAGACATATACATACATGCATGCATATATTACATCGTGGGGATATTTAAATAAGAAGATTAAATATAACGAGAAGGTAAGGAAAAAAAAGATTAAGTGAAACATTATATATGATTCATTGAAAAAGTTCATTTGAAAATGCATATGTGAATCCATATGAATAATCTGTAACGTCGGTTACATGTGCATATTCAAATAAAAAAAGTTCTCAACTTTTTCAAAGATTCACATATGAATGCTCCATTAACCTTCTATTTTTTATCTTCTCACGATATTTAGTATTTTCTTTATGTATGCATATGTGAATAAGTTGTTGTATTCACCTTCTCATTTCCTGAGTTATATGCACATGTGAATGATACATGATATTCAAGATGGATTGAATGCACATATTAAAAAAAGTATTCAAGCTCGGATCCAATACTATTTTCTCGAGATGGGCTCGAACAATCTATTACTCAACTTGATTTGCCTCGTTAACACCCCTAATCTGATGATGACAGGTGTACGGACAAAAACTGTTGAGTAAACAAGGCAAATAGAAGTGTCCATGGTGAGAGTGTCTTTAATACACTCTGAAATGGATGTTGGTAATAACGTTGAAGTGGGGGTAAGCTAATGATGGTCAAGTATTTTGATTACAAAAAGAATAACGCAATCTTTCATTATGATGTAATTCAGTCATATGATATAATATATATTCACTTTTCTTTGTAAATACGAGTTATATTTCTCATTGGACAAGTGAAACAGGGTGCATGATGAATAGGGTGAAGAAATTACCATAACAGTGTGCATGATGAAGATGTGGTTGGATTTACCATTTTGCCCTTCTCGCTATTATAAAATAAATTTTTTAATATATACTTTTTAATTTTCTAAAATAAACTAAACTAATCTTGACCATTGATCAAGAAAATGAATGGATGAGATTGGTTTACACAAATGGGGGCGGTTTTCATTTGATCGCTCATCTCTCTCTCTCTCTCT